TAACCTCAACATGTTTCTGGACTCTGGGAGGAAGCCGGAGAACCCCGAGAGAACCCACGCTGCACGGGGAGAACATGCAAACTCCACACAGAAAGATCCCGGGTGGCTTGACCAGGACATGAACCGGCAACCTTCTTGCTGTGAGGCAACGGTGCTAACCACCGAGCCACCTTGCAGCATTAATAATAGTAATAATAATTCTATATGTATAAAGAGAGGTTACAAGAACAGACATCTGAATAATCTACCTACACTCTCTTCATGTTATGTGCCAGGAAGATGTGTTTGTCAGCAGGCAAGACTGAACTCCTGGTTTTGGTAATGATGTAGCCAGCCTTCGAGAAAATGCGCTCCGACGGAGTGGAAGTGGTCGGAACACACAGGCAGTGTTTGGCTGCTGATGCCAGTTTAGGTTTGTGGTCGCAGTTCTGTTTCCAGCATCCAAGTGGGCCAGACTGGACTCTAGTGGAGTCCACCAAATACTGCTCCATCTCTCGCTCGGCACTTTGATCTGTCGGGTGTTCATCATCGGAGTCCGACAGCACTACCATGGATATCTCCTGCTGTTGTTTTTTTTGTTGGTGGTGGCAGCAGCAGTGTCCTCGCCATGCATTTCTGTCAGCTCCTTTTCCGCCTCCCTAACAGCGTGCCGGTGGTCTGTTGAATTTGGACCTCAAAATTAATATCCAGATATGCCACCACAACGACTGAGTCTGTGGATATTCGGCACCAGCCCTTGTAACATCACATATCTTCTGTTAGTCAGGCACAAGCTTGTTACTGCAGCCACGCTTGTTTGCATACTTCACAATACAGTTTGATGACATCCTCATTTGCGCGCCGGTACATGCTGGTATGCAATGCAGGCATTATTTTATCGGTTTTCATTATAGGCAAAAAAATCTGATAACGATATTGACCGATATTACATTTTTATACCAATATTGGGCCAATATTATCGGACATCCCTAGCAAATATAGTCTCATCTTCCAGTCAAACAAACAAGAATGAATTGCTATTTGTAAAAATACAAATCTTTTCGGTGGATATAATCCATAGCCTTTTTAGCCTCTTTTCAAAGGTTTACTTGTAAAATAAAACCCTGTTCTTCTGTATTTTTAGTCGTAATTATCTGTAATTTAACAAAATGGGGGAAATCTGTAAACTATGTTAAAAAAAATTCAATTAAAAACAGTATTTTTTTTTTTTTACAGTGGAATGTACAGCTCGCCTATAACTCAACTGCACAAACCAGGAATGTTCTTCCAGCCTTCCTCCTCCTTCACATCAGCTCACATTTAGCCGCCTGGTCGCTTCCGTCGCTGCGTCTCGGGATGCGGATCTGTTTGATGAATCATTGAGAGGACGATGCACTCCGGCTGATTTGAGTCATGCTGTTCTCGTTGGTTAAACATATAAACGACCAAAGCAACACACACTGGAGGCCTGAAACAAACAAGCTGCTCCTGAGAATAATCTGATTACTTCGCCTCTGCTGGGCGAAGCCAGTACAGATCTGACATGAAGGTTCTTTCACAAGTCGCTGTTGCAGGATCGAGGTTTTCCTGAAAACCATCACAAAAGTAGTTTGTGGCCGTCTAGCTTCCCCTGTTACCTTTTCATGTGGTTTCATTTCAATTTGTTTGAAGAAAGTTGAGAAAATTAATACGAAACAGTGCAGCAGAAGTGATTCTTTCCCCCCTCACACAGTAAAAAGAGAAGACGCTGTCGACAAACAGCTGCTAGGGCACCAAAACACTGTAAAATAACAGACAATAACCATTTCTGGAGAAAATCCACTGATGTTCTCTCTCTCGTGATCATTTTGACAATATATATAAATTAATATGTATATGTATAGCAAATCCAAATGTTAGTATCTAATAATTTTGACAGCAAAAACATGGAGAGAATTTAGGTTTAGGGTGTCGAAATGTCTGTGTCTCACAATTTTACAATAATGTGTAGATTCATATTTAATCATTTGGGCAAGAAGTGTGTAGAGAATGTAGATTTATGGTGTCAAGAAGTTAGAATGCCATATATATATTTTTTTAAAGTAGAGAGAGATAATTCATGTCGGTGTCACAAAAGTTTGACAAAAATCTTGTGAAGAATTTGATTTGAAAGTTCAAATTTTAGTATGCTGATTTTTTTAAACAAAATAAATAAATATAAGAAAAAAAACAAAACAGGAATTTAAAATGTTAACATTTAATTATTTTGACAAAATATGTGGAGAATTTTAGTATTGACAGTACACTTCTAAATTCTCAATTTGTGTTGCTTTAGTTTTGCAAAAAAAAAGTCAAAAATTTTATGCTGGAAAAAGATTAGTTAGTGGCCTAAATAATATAATATAATATAATATAATATAAGAATTTATGTCTGTTTTAGTTTAGAGATTTGCTAAATTAAAGACTTTTTCCTTATGGGATGATTTTGTGCCTAAATGTTTTTATTCTGGCACTAAAGGTCTCCCATACTGAGCTTCTGACAGTAGCAGGAGGCCGTTCGGCGCAACAGGAGGCGGTTCGGTGCAAGAGGAGGAGGTTCGGTGCATCAGGAGGC